TTTAAAAAGAAGACTTATCGCGACCCAAAAATGGGTCGCGACCCACCGGTTGAAGACCACTGAAATAGAACAATCTTCCAAAGTAATACCATTATTTATATTTTCATTAATAGAATCCTCATCAGATGATATAGGAGAGAGAAAAATAAATTAAAAATACTTTCTGTGTCAGAATAAGAAGACAATGTTAAATTGTTAGAATCTATTTTATTTTGATATTTCACCGGGTTAAGTATTATAGGATTTTCATCTCCTATGGTTGCTCACAATTTGTACCTTTAGATGTACATAAAGAAAAAATACTATTACTTCTTATAGAAGTCCTAATTGTTCTGGCTGTTGGATTTTTATTATAACCACCCATTTGTTGAAAAATACTAAATAGATTTTCTAATATATCCTGATTTAATCTATTAGTCATTAAAAATACAATGTTATGAGCTTTGTCTTCTTCGAAAAATTGCAACACGTCATTAATTGTCTGTGTGAAACCTTTAAAACAAGGAGGTTGAGTTAATTTTCCTTTTTTTAATTTTTGAAAATTTGTAAAATATTCTGGCTTTTTTTAAGAAATTGTGTACAGTACCTGATTCAGTTAATGCACATAGATATGGATTTTGGCTATATAAAGATCTGCTATTAAGACAATCGAATAAATGATTGATAAATTCAATAAAATCTGCAGTATTTAAAGAAGTGTTACTTTGAAGTTGTCCAGTTTGTATTCAAATTCGATCGTTGCTGACATAGAATGGCTCAATAATTTTGCTGCTAATTTAACATTCATTTTTTGAAAAGAATTTGGATAAATATGTGCATCTGTTATTTTGACGAGACACCTACTCTTGAGATTTTTTTTATCTAACTCGTATGTTTTTTTTATGTTATCAAATGAAATTATATTGCCATCACCTTTTATAAAAGAAGCTTCAATTAAATTATTTCTAACACTTTTAAGTAAATGTGGCACATCAAATAAAGAAAATATTTTATTGATATCAATAAGAAAATAAGACCTATCTTCGGAAACATTTAATGATTTTAAAGTACTTTCATTGTTTGTGCCTTGATCACATACTATAATTTTTGTACACAATCCAACTTCAAATAATTTTTTAAGAACATCTTGTTAAATTTTTTTAAATGTTTTTGTTTACTCCAGAATGGGAAAGAAAATATGCAATTGGAATTTTCCACTGAGAATAAATACCTCTGGCCATAAATAGTAAATACTAGAATACAGTTAGCACTTTTATTGGTCCTTCCATAATGACTCAAGTCCTCAAAACCTTCAATAAAATCAAATTCTTTTGAATATTCTACAAATTCTTTTATATACATCTCATAAAAACAAACATAGCACACTTTTTCTTTATAATCAGATGACTCAAATTTTTTTTGAAGATGACTTAAAAATAATTTACTAAAACATAGTAAAAACTTTGATTTACCAATCCAATAACGAATAGTAGATGGTCTTGGTAAATTTACTTTCTGAGAACGTAAAAATTTATATGCTGCTGAAGATTTATAGTATAAATTTAAAGCTAATTGTTTTTCATTTAATGTCCACGGACGACGCTTATCTTTTAATTGCATAGTCACTATTGCCTTAGAATTTATAGAAGAAAAATTATGCATCTTTATTAAATTTTTAAAATTATAACGAGAACTAAGATTATTTTTTTTTTTAATTTTGAAATATGAACTATTTATTATGAATTATTTTGTTTTTTTGTTGTAATTTTTGCTTTAAATTCAATTTTCTAAGAGTATCTATTTCAATTGAATCAAGTTTTCTTTTTAAATTGGGGCTAGGCATGTGTATTATATTTGTTATTTTAGCTTTTTGAGTAGAAGAAAGTAAAGAAGGGGGACTTGGGAAAACTAACTCTACCATATTTGATTTTGAATGTGTATATGTTTTAGTTGGAGTTGATATTTTAATAAATTCTTGTTCAGGTTTATGATTTTCATTTAAGTTTGAAGATGTACATGGCTGTTGCTCAGATTTATTATTATAATTATAGGGAATTGCAGTGTTAGTTAAACAGTTTTTTTATTAGAAAAATTTGTAAAACTTTCAGGTGGGAAATGCTCTTGATAAATGTACCTATTATGCAGTTTTTTGGGTTCAATCGAAAATAGACTTGTGTTTCCTGTGAAGATAAATCAAATATCAAATAAATAACATTATACTTTTTGGAATTTAAGTTAGAAGTAATAATGTTTTATAATTATATAATCTTATATTTTCAAGACAATTTAAACTATCGAGATAAATCAAAATTATAATTTTTTTACCATATTTCAACTTTAAAGATTAGTTAATAAAATATTAAAATTTATTTAAATAAAAAATCATTAATTTATATTTTCATTCCAATTATTTATATTGTTACTTTTAAAGGGATAACATTTAAAATAAAATACCAATAAATTATGTACTTAGCACAACATTTTCTTTAACATTATAAAAAAAATAATTAATTATTTATTTACCTGAATTTAACATCCAAACTTCTCTTCTCTCGTCGTTTGGAAAACGATAAAGTCGTAATTTAGGAAAAAAATTCTTCGACTTGTCACAATTCACATACTGACATTTATTGCCAAACATTTTCAGATAATTTTATACTCAAAACAATGAAAATTATTTTTTGTATAAAAGACTGATCACATAGATCTCAGTAAGAGTTGGTAACCCAAAAATTGTCTCTCACAAAAAAGAAACGACTAAACAGTAAACAGTAAACAGCAGTCAATTGGATATTTAACGATATCGGATATGCGATAACGAATTATGAAATAATATATTTTAATCAATAATAATACAAGGAATTCTATTATAATTTTCATTTCTTTTGAACATATATTCTATTTTTAGAACGACAACTATTGTACTCTCGCTCTTCCTCACCATACTATGGTAGTGGTACCACCACCTTGAATCTGGACACCCACTGCTTTGCTTACCTACCTATGAGAGGGTACACCACCTTTGCATCACTTCTACACTAGCGCTTACCTACCGGTTGCATCATAAACAAACCACTACAATAGCGCGTTTAGCAGTTGTATCATTTTCTGCACTAGCGCTCCATAGTGGCTGCATTATATGAATGGTCACCAAATATTAACATTAAATTGTCTATCTGTCTATTCTATAATCAATGGTGTTAGGATAGGTTCCCCAATGTTAGGTAGGCAGGTTCGAATTCCGTTCCGGACGTAATTCGGGTGGTTCTATTAGAAAAACTGCATATACGGATATTTTGCATTTTTTTTTTTCATTTAATTCGATCATTTTAAATATTTGTATGTCAATTAATTGCTATTTTCGTTTTGATATCCAATCTTACACTACTACTCATAAAATATTTTTCAAATTTTATAAATGATTTGATCTCACATATTTAATTTTATATTGCTTGATTGATGATGACAAAATATATTATATTATTATATTATTATAATATACAAAATAGTATTCAATTATTCATTTTTTAAATAGATTAAAGATAGATTATTGTATTCAATAAATATATATATTTATATATTATATGTGTATATGTTACACATTAAAACTTATTATGTTATATATACTTAATTAAAAATAAAAACCAATTAAAGTTATTGCTAACAGTCTGCACAATTCAAATGTACATATTATGTGATTTGAAACTTATATTATAGCCTGAGAACATTCTATTGATGACAATATAGTTGTTTCACTCAGTTTTGACCGTGAATTCGTTATTTTATACGTTTAGTCTTTCAGTTGTTTACATTTGAAAGGTACATGGGGAAAACGGTAGTAGTACATTTTTTTTTTTTGATTTTAAAATATTTTGTCATCACAGAAAGTGCATAATATTTCTTTTCGTTATCTAACTATCTATAAAATATCAAAAAAAAAAATTAAATATTATGTATAGATATTTGATCTTCAACTCGCTAACGTTTGACATGTATTTTCCGTAATAGGTTTAAAATCTCCCCTTTGCGACTACCTGGGAGGTTTAAACGCGTTTAACTGGATTTTCAATGGTGATAGCTTGAAGATCGAGAACTCGATTCGACTTCAACTTTTTTTCGTACAGAACAGCATAACGCTTTTGACGTCAGGAGGTATAACATTCCGCCGTAATCGAATTGCCGGTCAGGAATCGATGTTCACTGGACGATGACTGATACCTAGACACTAAATTGCTGTTTTCGGAATGTATTTATTTATTTTCCATGCACAAAAGCACAGGGCAAGCTACGGGACAAGGTGTATTACACCTGTGAATTTAATGAAATGATCGACCACTAGACGCTCGAATTGGACTTTTTTATACTTTTATTATTAATAACGCGTTTAAAACCGCCAAAGTGTATAACCACTAAATCAGAGGTACCAACAAATGTCTCAAACGTCGTTATCACTGATTTCGCCTACTAGACTTTTAACTGCGGTATTCTAAAGTCCTGTCTCCGACCTAGGAAATTCACTTCAAACGATTTTCAGCTACCTAGGGTATTCACATACAGCGAGTTTCACCGATGATAGTAATAAATATAAAAAATAAAAACAAAGAGTATCTACACTACATGCAGATACATCGATACATGTGTTTGTCTTGTTTCTATTGAACACAGTTGACATAAGAATCAAAAGAATTATTTTTATTGTCAATACAATTATTATACAACGGTTAATGTTATTACGATCACATGCCACCGCGATTCCGATAACGTTCGTATAATCGCTAATTTCGGGGAACCGGTTCCCACCAATCGCCGCACACACAAACGCACATGCATTACATTAAACGCTAATGACGTCATGGTAACATTCTCGGTTTCGCACAAATTAACAGAATGACCCTCAGCCATGAAACATAAACATGTCAAAATACAATCACAAGTATAAGTTCAACACGTTTTAAACAAATTTTATCATTAATTTGTACAAATACTTATAAAAACTGAAACATTTTAAGAATGATACTTACGTTGAGGTTTAAATAGTTCACATTCATGGTAGTAATAATATACATGATCTGTTCAAAAATTATAAATATTATAATCTATATATTAGTTTTCTTATTTTTAACAGTATTTTTAAAAATATGTGTCAAATTCTATGTGATAATAATGTAATACAAATGCTTTCATCAATGACGAATTAATAAAATTAGGATTTTTGTTATCTGGATAAAATAATTACTCTTTATTTAATTATTCTTTAAATATACCTATTTATATCGTCTATAGAATATTATAATAAGTTATTAAAAATGTTTGCCTGACTGTAGTTTGGTATACAGTTGATAGTTGTAAAAAACAACAGTTTTCTTAACCAACAGAATTCTGATTAGTTGAATAATTTAAAACTTTGGCTAAGATATATAAAAGATAACTATGTCTGTAGCGATTATAAAAATGTATTAAATAACAGGTATTTGTCCAATATGCTATCTACAAGCCCGGATTAATGGGGGGGGGGGGCAGGAAGGGCCAAGTCCCCGGGGCCCACGTGTGTTAAGGGCCCATAGTTTTCTCGGTTTAAAATTACATTAAATGATAATTTGTACTTTTTATAGTACCTACAAAAATATTTTTATTTTTTTTTTGTTTGAGCTAACAGTCGATGGGGCCCGTCGACAGTGTTTACCACCAATAGTATGGTAAGTGGGGAAACATAGCGTCATAGCCATGTTTGTGTTTGTTGGGAATAGGCATATATTTTGATATTACTGTATTTAAAAATAGAATTGGGAAAATTTGTTTATGTGACTGTCTCGGTCATGGATACTTATAATTTAGATACCTATCGACTAAACCTGTTTACATAAACAAAACTTAATTTTATGTGTAAATATATATTTTAATAAAAATATAATATATTTTTAATATTTTTATCCTCATCAATCGTTATCATTAGAGAGCGGATTTTTAGGTTTTTACATATTTTTATTGGTTTTATGAAGCTTTATGAGAGTGAAAAATGTGGACGACTTATCCATCACAGAGTTCGTAGGAAAAAAATTATTTAGCATATTAAAGCATATTTTTGACTTAAGAGAATATTTAGCCTATTTTTCATATTTAAGAATATATTCTATTATTGTTCATAAAAAATCATATTATACATGATTAATCTATTGATTTGTGATATTTTCCAGCAACCATTTTGTCTAGGAAAAAAAATTATTTTATATAAGAATGATAAAAATTAAAAATCATCCAATTATCTACTTGTTTGTAATCAAATTGGTAATGATGATCATTCTGTTACTCTTAATTCATAATTGTACTTACGATCTTATAATAACGTGATAAGTAAAGAGCGGATTTTTAGGTTCTTAAAAGCTTAAAATATGATGCTAATATGTTCTAAAAAAAACCCTAAAATATTCTCTTAATATTCCTTAAACTTGTAAATATGCAGACAATATGATTTGACTTTTTTCCAAAATAATTCAATAAAAACAATAAATAACTTATGTACCATTCCTTTTTGGTAACATATAAAATATTTAATTATAAAAAATAAAACAAAATAGTTTAATAAAAACAATACATAACTTGCATGGCCTTTAGTAACAGTTAAGTTATTTCACTATAAAACATAAATCAGTTCATACTTAGTTACCTTTATAAATATAATGAAATATTTATAAAAATAAAATAAAATTAATAAAAACAAAATTAGTTCATACTTAGTTACCTACTAAACTATATCACCATCAGTCGTAAATACTGTATCATTTGTTTTATTATACGACTTTATCCACTGTTTATATAAATATTTAAAAAAATAATAAAAATGAATATTACAAATTTAACTAAATCGTCAGACATTAAAGTTAAAATGATAAACAATATAAAAGTAAAAATAGATTTATTATTAGAAATCATTCTTATCACGTTATTATAAGATCGTAAGTACAATCATGGATTAAGAGTAACAGAATGATCACCATTACCAATTTGATTACAAACAAGTAGATAATTGGATGATTTTTAATTTTTATCATTCTTTTATAAAATAATTTTTTTTCCTAGAAAAAATTGTTGCTGGAAAATATCACAAATCGATAAATTAATAATGTATAATATGATTTTTTATGAACAATAATAGAATATATTTTAAAATATGAAAAATAGGCTAAATATTCTCTTAAGTCCAAAATATGCTTTAATATGCTAAATACATTTTTTCCTATAAGTCGTCCACATTTTTCACTCTAATAAAGCTGCATAAAACCAATAAAAATATGTAAAAACCTAAAAATCTGCTCTCTAGTGATAAGAATGATTTCTAATAATAAATCTATTTTTACTTTTATATTGTTTATCATTTTAATTTTAATGTCTGACGATTTAGTTAAATTTGTAATATTCATTTTTATTATTTTTTTAAATATTTATATAAACAGTGGATAAAGTCGTATAATAAAACAAATGATACAGTATTTACGACTGATGGTGATATAGTTTAGTAGGTAACTAAGTATGAACTAATTTTGTTTTTATTAATTTTATTTTATTTTTATAAATATTTCATTATATTTATAAAGGTAACTAAATATGAACTGATTTATGTTTTATAGTGAAATAACTTAACTGTTACTAAAGGCCATGCAAGTTATGTATTGTTTTTATTAAACTATTTTGTTTTTATATAATATATTTCATTATATTCATAAACCTATGAACTGTTTTGTATTTTTTATAGTTAAATATTTTATATGTTACCAAAAAGGAATGGTACATAAGTTATTTATTGTTTTAATTGAATTATTTTGGAAAAAAAACAAATCATATTATCTGCATATTTACAAGTTTAAGGAATATTTAGAGAATATTTTAGGCTGTTTTTAGAACATATTAGCATCATATTTTAAGCTTTTAAGAACCTAAAAATCTGCTCTTTAGTTAACATACTTAAATAAAAATGTTTAAATTTGTTTTATTATATAATTTTATAATTTTAAAGAATTGTTTTTATTGACGGGGGCCCACAACCATATATTGGCCCCTGAAGCTCTTGAACCGGGCTTGACTAATCTACCTTAAATATTTTATCTACTGTAATTTTATTATAGTTTAGTATGATATATACCGTATGCTGTATATTATACATACTTTATCATTTTGCAATTAAGATTTAAGATTAAGCTTTTTTTGTAAACCCAAATCATATTATATTTATATTTTATACCTTAGTAAGTTAGGAAGTTTAGTAGGTATACCTTTATATTATACCTGTTTAGTGTGTGTTTGTGAGTTGTGTCGATTATATACGTGGTTTAACTGTGATTTATTTATTATTAAATATTATTTAATAATTATCATTATGAGTTTGTCAAATTTAGTTATTTATATCGACACATAATTCAAAATGAAGAGGTACGCAAACATTTTTTAAGTGTACGTGGTTAATTACCAATCGACCAAACTTGTAAAAAAATTTAAAACCAAGCAATTTGTGGTGGTGAATTAAAAAAAGTTCTGAAAAATAGTTGAAAACGTGATTCGGATTATCATATTTCACCAACGTAAAATGATGGTAGATAGAATATTTACAGTAGCATACTAAACCATCAAACGTGCGGTAGATAGGCATATTGGACGAGTACCAAATAACATACCAATTAAATAACATTTTTCGAATAGTGAATGGTAATTCTTTTCTTTAATTTTCTAAAAAAATACGTAAAACACAATTAATATTTGATTTGTAATATTTGAAATAATATATTAAAATTTGAAGAAGCTATAACATTTAAAAAAAAAAGAATTTTCTCCATAATCATTATGACATAGTTTCAAAGAATAAAATGATGCTTATTTACAAGTAGCAGACTATGAGTTAAGATCACATTATTACTCATTATTCAAATGCCTACCTAAAGATAACAACATCTTCTTTTGTTTAACTTGCATTGTGTGAAACTTGTTTATAATCGATAATGATTAATATCTTGTTTTTCTAATGCCTTACTAGCAATGATTATATACAGACATAAAGTGTTTCGCTGCGACCAATCTTACGATATTATGGCAGTTGTTTGCCGCCACTCGCACGAGTAATAGGCGGAATATAACCAATTTAATTAAGTATAAAATAATAATAATAATAATAATAAAACACACCATAGTTTTTGTTATAGGGAACACAGTCCCACAATATTAACAATATATTGAATAAGAATACTATTGTGGTAATTTATTTGTACTTATTATATTTTTAATATTTTTATTATTATTATATAGCTCGCCGCGTTTACCTGCCGATGTTCGTTTGGTTGTGCGAAGATATCGATTATTGATAAGCTACAGACCCGGACGATCGGCGCGGTATCGCACGAGCTTTGCAATAATTAGTGTAGTGGCGACCGCGGACTGAATTATATGACGTTTTCGTTACCTGGTAAAATATAGTTTATTCTTGACAATATTATATTTTTATTTCTTTTTTATTTAAATTATATCCTTTTTCATACGCTTCGGCGCGACAGTACCTCTCACTGTTTCTTGTGCTACACTATTACTAAATAATAAAATGTATAAAAAGGGCGCCCCAAAAAAAAATATGTATCAAAATCATTATAAAATTAAAATTATAAATAAATATACAACGGTACATAAAATATCTACACAAACGTAATAAAGATAATAAACACGATTACAGGTTTAATAATAATATTGCTATCGGACCGGGGTCAAGCACTTAAAGTCGGCGCACTTGACTGGATGACGACGATTAAGACTCTCTATGCCACTGGATACCAACCACGCATATTGTGACGGACATCTTTCCGTGTGTTGCGGGGTCGACCAGTTCTTCCGGGTTACCCCGGAGACACTCAGCCCCTATATATAACCGCGAGGTTATCTCTTCCGGGCGGTAGACCCGGATGACTCCGGTGGTCCTGCCCGGGGCGCCGCCTCACCACGGGCGCCATAATGAGTGACCGCCGCAGCCAGGGCCAGACGGATTATCGCCTGAGTCAAATCCCTTCTACTAAGGCGGTACTTCCACAACCACCATGAGTCCTTCCTCAAGTGTGTCTTCCCCGTTGCGGGCGAGCGCGTGTCCCCGGTGAGTCTACGCGGCCGTGCGCCTCGGGTCCGACACCCCCGGAGCGTCGAGGCGCTATTAGCAAGCCGACTCGACGGGGCTTACTCCGAGTCCCGTGGTACGAGGTTGAACCCGGCGTTCAGGCCCTCGCAACTGCCATGTCCGCAAGCAGGTCGATCGGGGCACCGCTGTGTGTACCGCGACGACACCCTTTTAGTGCGTACGGTTTTGTTCTTTATCGACAGATTGCCGGCTCTGCCGGTGCCTCTCCCGTATCAAGCCCCGAGCCAGTTGAACACGTGCACGTGCTTCACCCGAAGGGTGGTCTGGCCCCTCAAGTTCGAGCTCTCAGTCTAGGCAAGAATTAATTCATAGGAAATGAGGGCACCCAATTCTCCCCACGAGATGTCCCATCCGTCCCGCGTCCGTGCAAGGCGGGCATTCAGTCCGTCCCGTGAGGTATCCCGTGCCTCACTCCCGGCTAGGTAGGTCTTAGTACGGAGGGCGTTCGACGATCCTGTGGGGGCGCCGTCTTAGGGCCCTTGATCCGGCTATCGGGTCCCGCTTCGCCTGCCACTATCCGGTACTTCGCAGGCTTTCGCCCCGCCGCCATCAATGACAGCGACGGTCGTTTCGGCTAGGCCCACTCGGACGATTTGTGCCCGCATGGATAGGGGAGACTGTCCACATGTCTCCGGGCTGGATACGAGCCCCGCCCCGGTGGTGGTCTACAGGACCGAGGAGAAAATGATAAATTTCATTCAAATTAACGCCGGCCGAGGAAAGGCGGCCACGCACCAGATAGATAAACTTCTAGTAGATTTAGCCATAGACGTTGCGCTAATCCAAGAGCCTGCGACCGATGGTACGAGGATCTACCTGTTAGACAGGCATCCTCTTAGGGTAATCGCGGCGGGACGATGGCCGAAGGCTGCCGTTGTTGTCGCGAACCCGGCCATAGGAGTCCTCGCTCTTAGACATCTCTGTACCCCCCATTTGGCCGCGGCCACGCTCACGGTGGGACAAGTCAGCTTTCACGGTGGTATCTTCATTCAGTTTCGATCCACCACACGCTGACGCGCTCGGGTCCGTCCTGGACCAGATCCGGCGGCGCCGTGCTGGTTCAGTGATGGCACAAGGTTTCCACGGTGGTGGGCATGATGAAGTCTGACGACCAAAGAAGTAATCGAATTGATAAGTAAAGTGCCCGTCCGCCGAACCCAGCGACCAATCAGGTTCTTCGATGAAGGCAGAGGGTCGCCACCGGGACGCTACTTGCGTCGCTTATTGGAGCGTAGGTGACGGACCAGCTTTATACCCGACTGGACATTAAGGATCACAACGTAATCAGCTTTAAATTTGCGTGCAGCCAGAACGCCCTTTCGTCACGGTACGCGTACGGAACGATATTTATGAAACACTGATTAAATCATTCCGTAAGACCCCAAAAGCACGTTAGCACGGTCAGCCGAGCTGGCGTCTTGCTGTAGATCTCAGAACGCACTCGAAGTGCTGCAAACGGTTTGATACCCACGAACGGCCATGGTCAACGGTTGAAACCGCTTTGTGAACTTCGACTGGTAGTTATTTCGACAGCCAGATGCTGGAAGCGCACCATGCAGAACGCGTCGAAAGAGAGCCATGGGTGATATTGCACACTCAAGCGGAGATATAATCTGCCTGCTTGTGAGCACGGTGGCCTTGCGTCTTCGTTGGCCGCAACGAGGAGCCCTGGGACCGTCTATAAATGGCTAAACCGGGAACACGCCTTGAAGAAATTACCAGTGTCCATCGTGGACGAACATTACGTGCTCAAGCTTAGAGAGACCGGCAGGAGAGACTTCTCGACAACTGGTCCCCGAGATAGCGACGCAACAGAGACCGCAGAAAGTAAGGAACCAGAGAACGGCGTTTATGTGGTAGATTGAGTCCGTATTACCTGGGCTTAGTCCACGTTCGACCCAGTTAACCGTGCACGGTCGTTGAGGTAAGAGATGCCATATGGCGGATGAAACATGCAAGGCCCGCCTGACGGGATCATTGCAGGAATTCGGTGCGCGTGAAGGTCCTGAACCAATTACGTTTGCGTTCAAAACTCACTGGCAATACATGCACCGAACGAAGTACCGT